TCTGTTTGCTGGATCTGCGAGCCCTCCCTTTCCCGGGGGCTCTGGGTGATGCGCCAAGCGCTCCCCGTCCCGCAGTGCCGCTGCCGAGGCCAGAGCAGCCGCTGTATCCGGCTGATCCTGCTCTCACCCTGAGCAAAAGGTCTCCTGTTCAGGATTCCCCACTGATGTTTGCTGCCAGACAGGTGTTCTTGCAGAAACCTCCTACTGTTCTTTAAAGCGTGTGACACAGAAAAAGCCTCTTCTATAAGAGAAGATTGCCTATAGGTATAACACCGTGATTGTATTTTTCTTCCTTAGCTCACTAAACAACGTACAGAACTACTTTTGACAGGACTTCCTCCCTACAGGAGTGAACGCTTTTATTCTGATGCACAGTATGGTTTGAAAAGCACGTGGCGTAGGAATTTGTAACTGTTCCCTGTAACTCACCGCATTCCCGGAGTTCATAGCCTCCAACTGTAATCCCCAGCCGGGAACCACCCTTCTCCTGAGCAGCCATTCCATTGGCTCAGTTAAAATTTAAATGTATAGCTTCCTTTTTGGGTGGCCAGATGAAGCAACCCCTGTCTCTTTGTGTAACATGCGCGGCACACCCTGAATCAGAACCGAGCTTAGATTCTACTCCCTTTCGAGGGCAGGGGCTTAGGGAGTGTGTGAGGATGACATGAACGACGGGCTCCTTGCCAGAAACCGTCACAGGGGAAGCTCAGTTCTCAAACAATCCCTACAGGTATATTAGACCACTCTGGTAACTCGAGTAAACACCATAAAGGGATTTAGTCCCCCCAAAAGCTGTACTTGTTTGTAATGTTCTTGCATCATCCTGTCAAACACCCTCCCTCAGTCTGAGCCAAGAGAGAGGCAAGCTGCTCCTGCCCATTTGTGGCTGTGCCTGATCCAGGGAGCGTTTTTGTGAAGGTAAATGGACATTTTTGAAACCCCAAGATTTACTGAATGTTGGATTCTGTGTGATACTTCTCAATCATTTCTATGTTAATGTGAAGATTGGAAAACTTCAGATGCTGCATAATTTATTCCCTAATTAATGCACTCAAATGCAGCTAGTTCAGGTGACTGCTGTGATCTTGTCCTTGCTATCCTGAATGGATGAGTAGAGAAAAGCGTTTTCTCTCTTTCCTCTAAACATTTTGGGCAAAACTATTTCTTTTTCAGCTACTAATTCTGGGACTAGAAATCAAACATGCTGTGAATTGAGCTGTGGTATGAAGGCATCAGTGTTACCAAGGATTTAGTGTGAATTGTCTTGTTTTCAAGGGTGGTTTTCTTACTTGTCTTGTCTTGCCAAAAGCATCTTATTGATTTTTAATGTTCTTCAATGCTTAGACTAGTGACTGGGTGGCAAGAAGCCCAGGACACACGCAAGAAGCACCAACATAAAGCAACTTTATCTAGAAATACCCATGTGTTTGTGCACGTTATATGTCAGAACTCAGCCAAACAGAGCCAGTCCCTTAGGGAGCAGGACAGAGGTGGGAATGCAAAGCTCAGCTGTTCCTGTGGGAAAGGTTTCCTGTAAGTGCAGGCTGTGCCACACACAGAGCAGCTGTGTTGCGTGCTTATACACCTTGGGTGTGCTGCAGCAGCCTCCATCTGATAAGGGCAAGTGCCAGGTACCCACAGTGTTTGTATTCTCATTGTTATTTATGCTGGTTTAATAGAAAAGCAGAAAATTCAGTCATAAAGTTGAATAATTTCTGCCTTTGTGTTCTTACACAGAAGTGGTTTGGAAGGGTGAGGACTCAAGCAACAAATCAGTGTGTGAGGTGGCTCTGAATTAGCTGGAGAGATGGTTAAACATGTGATATTCCCATTTTAGGCTTTGCCTTTTTGAAAGAACTGTTGTGTGAATGGAGGGATTTCCTTTGAAGGTAAGGGATAGAAACTCAGTAAGAATATAGAAACCAGGAAGGGTCTGGAAATCAGATGGGGTATGTGAGATCTGTCAGCAAGGAGGCCATTCGAGCTGCTTGAAACACTGGGAGAACAGATGTGGGGATGGTTTGTCAGATTCCACTGTGACAGCTTCCCCAGTCTGGCCACATTACAGGGGGTTGTGTAGGAAAGGAGGATGTGAAAGTGTACAAAAGCAGCAGACAGATGAAAAACCATTTCAGGCCTATGCTTTGCATGCTGGGGCAAAATGAACTTACAGGAGTGTTGTGGGAATATAGAAATATTTTAGAACTTGCCAGAGCCTGTGCAGAAGGACAAGGAAATGTGCATGAGGCCCTGATGTTAACAGCAGGAGAAAATGGCTGGGGGAGGCAGTGGTCTTGTGTAAAATAAGTCCCTTGAGTAAGTGGTGTGGCTTTCCTTGCAGGTGATTGCCCTTGTGATGGATTCCTTCACAGACATTGAGATCTTCGGTGACCTTCAGGATGCCTATAAAAACCGCCAAGTCCCTGTCTACATCCTTCTTGACCAGGACTTTGTACCCCATTTCTTGGAAATGTGCAACAATCTGGGAGTTTGTCCTGAGCAGGAAAGTGTAAGTACTAAATTGGGGTCAGTGTGGTTTGTTTTTATTTTCGTGGTAGTTTATACATATCAAAGAAACCTTTCTATAAAGCATCAGACTGCCTTGAAAGGCTAAAGCAACCTGTCTGTTGCCCATGTGTAGGAGCTACAACCATGATGTGCACCAACCCCATGTGCTGGGTGCACTGGGATCCCTGTCCTCAGGATGCAGCAATTTTCAGGCATTTAATTTTGCAATGTTTAAATAGCTTTATTCTTTGGCTCAAGGAACTGCTTGCTAAGGAAAACAGAAACGTGGGAAGCTAAAGGGTGGTACAGCTCTGGTATCATCTGCTTTCTTTCCTAATACTTTCTTTTAAGAGGCTCTGGATGATGTGAGCCAGGTGATTTGCTTAGCTGCTGTGAATATAAACAGACATCGCTGTGTTATGGCTTGGCTTGGATAGGCTTATGCTCACTACAGTAAAAGTTTCTCTGGAGGGGGAAAAACACTCCTGCCTTCCTGGGCAATAGCTAATTGAAACTGTTCTCACCTAATCTAACAGTCACTCTCTGACTAAAACCACTCATACAGACTGTATAAAAAAACTCATTTAATTCCTATCTTCCATACTGTGCTTAGCCACTTTTAAGTAGAATTGCTAATCAAAGGTTTTTGCAAGTTAACTTAAATTTGATGTCACTTGTTTCCTTGCTTTTCTGAACCAGATGATGAGAGTTCGAACTGTCACAGGGAGCACGTACTGCATGAGGTCAGGTGCCAAAATTGTCGGGAAAGCCAAGGAGAAGTTCATGTTAATTGATGGCATTAGAGTGGCAACAGGCTCCTACAGGCAAGTATTTGGGGTCTGCTGGTGCCCAGTGAAGCTGTAGAAATGGGGATTTGCTGCAAAAGGATGTGTTAACTTTGCTGTTTGCCCGGTGTTAATGAGTGCCAATGGCACATGGACTAGCTGAGTTGAAGTAGGGCTGATGCAAATCTGAAAACACCTTTGGAAAACTGGTTTACTCAGCTTGTTGCTAGCAGAGAGCTTGGCCATGGCTAAATAGAGTTCTTCCTGCAGAAATGAATAGTCTGCTGCCTTCTTACATTGCCTTCAGTTTTAAGCTGAGTCTTGCTGTCTGTAGCTTACTGTTGAAATGCACTGGAGATTAACTGTGAGTCTTGGTTTGTTTTCAATAGTTTCACATGGTCTGACGGGAAGCTGAACAGCAGCAACTTGCTGGTGTTGTCAGGTCAAGTGGTTGAACACTTTGACCTCCAGTTCAGGATTCTTTATGCCCAGTCACTACCCATCAGCCCAAAGCAACCGTCCAGCTGCAGGAACAGTGGCATGTTTGATCACCTGCTGACCAGAACAGAATCCTCTAAAGAATATACTGTGGAAGGCAACTTGAGAGCAGAATTTGCCAGACTGTCTAGCACTCCAAAGAAATTGCTGGAAAAAGCAGATCAAACTGAATATACTCCTGCAGGAAAGCTTGGTAACCTGCGGCTTTCTTGCCTGTGTGAAGAGGAGTGTGACAATCAAGTAGCCACAGTGGAACAGAGAAGTGCATCAACTCAAACCGGCCCGTGGGAAGAGATGGCAACTGTGACAAAATGTAATGCAGCCACTCAGGCCAGCGCTGCCACAACAGACAACAGCACTCAGGCTTCTGTCACGGCCAGAGTGACAGGCACTCAGACATCCATTTTGCTGAAGACTGCAGTGACACAGACAAAGGAAGAGAATGGCACAGAAACACCCCTCCTTCCCAGAAAGTTCTCAAAAGAAGAGTATTTTCTGTCTGGAAAGGCCGTATCCAGTTCTAGCCTGCACTCGTTGTCTTCATCATCATCCCAGCGCTCTCTTGCAAGCTCTGCAGGCTCAATATCCTCCCTCCGGTCCTTTGACTATTCCAGTAGTCACAGGGCACAATATTTCCAAAAACTGCACAAAGAGAGGCAATTCCACTACTCCACAATCAGGTCGAAGCTGAGCCACATGGTGGATATCCTGTCCCGGCGGGGCCGTGTCCCTGCCAGCTACATGAGCCAGTACCCCGGCAGCTGCAGCCTCAGGCAGAGGCGCGACATCAGCGCCAGCCTGCGCAGCCTCCGCGACGCCTCGCTCTTTTCCCTGAGAAAATGATTCCTGCCCTCACCACACAACACAAACCCCAGTCTCAAGCTGCTGTCACTTTGTCCCTAAAGATTCTTCCATTTCTGTCCAGCACTTTTACTTCTTTGATACTTTTTTAACACACCGCTCCCCAGCACTTTGTTTTATACTATGCAATGTAAGTGATGAAAAAGAGACATTTTATAGTAACAACTTAGAGGTTCCTCTTGTATGCATTAGTGGTGAAGATCATCTTAATTCTGGGTATTTAACCTCAAAACTGAACTTGTTACTGATTTCCAGGATTGCTAATGCCCCAGTTTTAATTTTTGTAAACTTGGAAAAAAATCTGAGTCACACTGAACTTTCTCAGAGTAGCTTTGGAGATCTATCTTATATCAAGGAATTCTCATTCTTTATTTCCAATATTGGCTTTTATTTCCACTTTATCTTTGACAGGAGAGGAATCAACTTTTACAAAGAGCCAAAAAGCTGATTTTATTCTAACTTCTGTGATACATATTAATCTTCCACTAAAGTTGCAAAGAGTCTCTTGAAACAGTTGCAGGTTATCTTCAACTGTATTATTTTTCTATTGTTTAAGCCTTCTGAATGAGCTAACTAGCCCTTTAATTTGACCATGCTCTTGTGCCTTTGTTTAGGGATATAGAAATATCTGTGTGTGTGTGTGTGTGTGTGTGTGTGTGTGTTTCCTTCTTTGCAGTGAGCTCCATGGTGAGACAATCACTGAGGGCATGTGACAAAACCCCTGTTCAAAAGTCAACTGACAAATGCACTATGGAATATTATGGGTTATATTGGGTAATGTTAATTTACAAATAACTGTAGGAATTAAAGAAACATTTTTCTCTTTTTAACTGTACTGTCTGAAATACTCTTTCCTGCTCTATTATTTTTCCATTACTAACTTGATTTGAGGAACTAAGGTGCCACTGTTTTTTGAATGCTTCCAATGTGGAGTGGACCTGAGGTTTGACTGCTTTGCAAAGCCTTTACCTGTTTGCAGATTTCTGTGCATGTCTGTGCTTGCTGGGTCTCTTACCTGAGCAGTGGGTGCAGTCTCTCCCTGAGATATGGCCTGTACTGTTTTTCTTTAGACCTGAATCTCAGTACTTGAGTGACTAACTGCACTGAATTCTGCCAAATCAAATTGGAGTCTGGGTTATGTATTTTTTTATTTAGGGGCATGTGTGTCCAGTAGATGGCACATTTCAGCTGTTGGCTTGAGTACTGAATGAATGAATGAATGAAAATATCCATAAATCAAGAGGGCTACAAGTGTTGAGAGTAACTAACTTTGGCATTCCTGTCTGAAATCAATGTGAACAATGAGGCTTAGCTACCTTTACTACTTGGATTTCTAAGCAGCCACTCCTTCACGAAAGCTGGAGGTGGGAAAAAAAGTTCTGTCTGCACTTGTTCAAAGCGATAAGGAATTTATTGCTTGATTCGTGGATCTGGAACACTGGCACCAAACCAAGTTGCAAGGAGGGAGCCAAGATTACACCTTCAAAGCCAATATCAAATTGTATTTTTAAGAGCTCAAGTCCTGCAGTTCTTGAATGCATGTAAAATTACCTTCTTTGTTCTATGTGCTTTTTAACTTTATTATACCATGCAGCTGTTAAGGTACTCTAACAGAAACAAGAAACAGTTTACAAATAAACTCCTTTTTGCCATGGGGCTTTCACCTGATCATCTGAGATTTATTTTCTGATTATTTGGCATTTTAAATCGGGGTGACTAAGTAATTTCGTCGGCGCTTGCTCCTTTCCGGCTGGGACTATTTGCCCTTTCCAACCTTAGGAGCATCCTTTTGATCCAGGCTGGGCAGCGGGCCCAGGGCTGGGTTGAGCCTTCCTCCTTCGAGGCCGGCGCTTCTGCGGGCGCTTCCCTGGGCGTGGAGAAGGCTGCGGGCTGTGCCACCCGCGACTGTGCCGTGGGCGGGCGGGGCGGGAGGCGGCGGCGGAGCGCGATAAAGAGCCGGGCAGCGCCGGGGCGCTCCGGCCATGGCCAGCGCGTCGCAGTGTCTGGAGGAGGGCTCGGGGCGCTGGCCGCCGCCGGCCGGGCCGTACAGCGAGGCGCAGCGGCTGGCGCTGGAGGAGCTGGTGGCGGGCGGCCCCGAGGCGCTGCGGGCTTTCCTGCGGCGGGAGCAGCTGCCGCCCTTCCTGTCGGAGCCCGAGGTGCAGGACATCGCTCGGGCCGCGCTGCCGCCCGCCGCGGGCCCGGAGCCGGCGGCCGAGCGCTCGGCCGGCGCCTCGCTGGACGCCTCGTCGCTCACCTACTTCCCCGAGCGCTCGGACCTGGAGCCGCCGGCGCTGGAGCTGGGCTGGCCGGGCTTCGCCAGCGGCGCCTTCCGCGGGCTGACGCGGGTGGAGGCGCATTTCCAGCCCGGCTGCGGGGACAGCATCTACGGCTGCAAGGAGGCGGTGCGGCGCCAGATCCGCTCCGCCCGGCAGGTGAGTGCCGGCAGCGCCCGCTCCCGCTGCGCGGCGGCCCGGGACCGCCTCGTCCTGCCCCGCTTCGCTTGCTCTGTATAACCTCCCGTTTTTAATTACTCCGCTGTTTCGTATTGCTTTATGTCTTTCCCAACCCCTTTTGGTTTTAAATCAAGTTCATCATTTGTCAGCTTTTTCACCCCCCATACTGCTGAAAGCCGAGTCCGGGCTCTCTGGTGCCGCCGAGTTCCCTCGCGGTTGGCGCCCGTGAGCGCTAAGTGCGGAGTGCCCATCCCCAGGTCTCTGAAATTACCGTTGCTTCCCCATCCTGCGGAGGATCCACGGCAAATCCTGGGGTGCAGTCCATGGGGAAAATCTGCAGGGGGTAGGAGCTGGCTTTCAAGGGATGTTTTATTCAGATCTTGACTTGAAATATGAGAGTCTGAATAATGTGAAGACAAACCTGACTTTTATCTTAAACAGAGAGCTAAGATATAAAGAGCAGTCAGACACTGTTTGTTTGGGGTTTTCTTACTGTTTCTTTCTATATTTGATAAGTTGAAATAGTGGAAAATTGTAGTATTGGAAGTAAGCTCAACTTTTTCTTCTGGCAATGCTTTTGAGGAAAAGACATCTGTTCTCAAGAAAAAAACCTCTCCTGTTTAGGCAGAGATCAAATTTGCCTAACACAGGGCAAATACAGGGGTCTACTTCTATCTCAGGGTGAAGAAGAATACTCTTTATCACAGAAGACTGCTGTACCATGTTCCATAACCACATGAAAAAAAGGCAGGAGAGAGTATTTAATTTGAAACTCAAGTTTCTCATGTGCTATCTCCTTTCTGATGCTGTGGAAACAGCCTAGTGGTTTCTTCTGATACTTGTTTCAGATGATTGCCCTGGTTATGGATTCCTTCACAGACACTGATATCTTCACAGACCTCTTGGAAGCCTGTAGCCAACGGCAAGTTAAAGTGTACATCCTTCTAGATCAGTCTTCATTTTCCCACTTTTTAAAAATGTGCAAGGATCTGGGAGTTGACCTTGAGGAGGAAAAGGTGAGCCTTGTCATATTTATAGGGGTAGGGCTGTAATCTTTAAGCTGTAAAAAGAAGAAACTATTACACCTGCTGCCACAACTTAAAATGGGTTTTATGTAGATCCAGTTCTATCTTGGAAGATTTAACCATTCTTACATAAGAGAGCAATAGAAAATAGAAAATCTGAAACCTTTGTAATTGAATGTTACAGCTGCTTTCTGAGCACAAATACTAATTGAATGTTCAAGGAAATGCAGGAGGAATGTCCAGTTCCCAAAGCATGACTGGAGTTGTTGGGGCTCGCTGAGGCTTTGAAGGCTGAAGGAAGAAGCAAGTTCACAGGAGTCTGTGGAATTTGGATCCTGATGATTAGGTGACAGGAATTTTCACAGTCCCATTCTGCACAGACAGTTTGTGGGTTTGCCCCTTAATGCCACCTCTTTGCCTACAAAAACAAGACAAAATCCTCACTGGCTCTTGTGCCAGTGTGCAGCTCATAAGGGATGGTTGTTGCTGTGTTACTCCTTTAAATGCAATCACTGAACTTTGCAGTCCACCTGACTCTTGCCATGTCTTTAACAGTTGATGAGGGTTCGGATTATCACGGGGAGCACATACTGCACCAGGTCAGGCACCAAAATCATTGGAAAAGCCCGTGAAAAGTTCATGTTAATTGATGGCATTAGAGTGACAACAGGCTCCTACAGGCAAGTGCCAATTTCTTTCTCTTGCTTTATCTGATTTCTCTCCATGGAAAGGAAAAACAGCAATGCTGAAGAATTGCTTTCCTTATCAGATTTTATGACCAACATTTATCCTTTAAAGAGCTCACTGCTCATCAGTTGGCTTCTAAGAACAACATAACTAAATGTGATGAGGAGAATTTCTAGTGAATACTTTCTTTACTGATTGTTTTGAATTAACTCATCATTTTCTCACTCTTCCTTTGCTAGTTTTACATGGACAGATGGGAAGCTGAACAGCAGTAACATTTTGATCCTGTCAGGCCCTGCAGTTGCGCACTTTGATGTGGAATTTCGGATGCTTCATTCACGGTCAAAGCCTATCAACCTCAAAGAGTTTTCTAGCTGCAAGAAGAACAGGGTGTGGGACCAGCTGTTCAGGATAACAGTGGCTTCCAGAGACAAGACCAGGGAACACTTCCTGAGAATGGAATTTTTGTATCTGAGAGCATTTGTAGGAGATCTGAAGAGGAAGAGAAGCTGGCTGCACGCCTCCAGGGAGGCCGTGTACACCCCAAATAACACGATGCACACCTCTCCCCCGCTGACTAAGAGGAATGGCTCCCTGGTTATGAGGCCACACTGGATCATAGAGAGATGAACTGCATGTCCATGCAGAGCAAGCAGCAGAAGCTCAGGAACCACCTTTGTCCATCCCTGTCCAGCGCTGTCTTGCAGTGTGTTTGTCAGGGCAGCTGGGAAAGAAACCTCAGACTGACAGAAAGTGAAACTGGACTTGTGGCTTTGTTTGAAGAATACTATAAAGCCAGTATTGACTTCTACTATCCTGTTAAATTTTCAGTTCTCAACCTGTTCATGCATATTTTAAGCTGATGGGTTGGCAGTGTCATAGCTCAGTAGCTCAACCCTTTCTTTTTTTTAAGAAATCCAGGTATTGAAAT